TAGATCATTGCTGAATTTTCTTTCTCAATCATTTGCACAGAACCTTTCCATACTATGAAAACTATGCAGTGTGAAAGAAGCTCCTGGCTTAGTTCAGCTTGATTTCTGTGTTCTGTATCCAAAGAATGTGTTGTCCTCAACACATTCCATTTGTGTTTGGCAGGCAATAAAAGTCACTGGCAGTAGCAATAGATGTATTGTCTTGGGGGCTCCCTGGCCAACAACTCAGTGCATTCATCTCACACTTGGCATTGGGGATTAGCTTTAAATACATAATTTCTGGGAAAAGCTTTGGTCTGTTCAGACTACCATCATTTTAATAGTTCAACAGATAATTCTTTTTAAAAAATGAGCTCACAGATGATCTTATTTAGCAACAAATTCAGTCACTTGGAAGTATTAGTTTACTACATTGTTAGCTTATGTACATTTAGATGAACACATTCCTAACTAGCTTAATATTCTCCCAGGCAAAATTATATGTTCAGTTTCTTCCATATTTTTATTGAAAACAGATTATTTTCTCTAACAGTATATCCTGATTATAGTTTACCTTCCCTCTACTCATCCCAGTTCCTTGTCACCATCCTTCCTTTTGAGACTCATTCTCTTTCTGTTTGTCACTAGAAAACAACAGGCTTCTAAGAGATAACAACCAAGCATCATAAAATAAAATACATGAAGATGAAACAAACAAACAAACAAAAACCTCATATTGACATTGGACATGGGACCCCAACAGGAGGAAAAGCCACAAGAGCAGGAAAAAGAGTCAGAGACCCACTCCTTCTCACAGTCAGGAGTCCCATGAAAACACTAAGCAAATTGCTATAGTATATATGCAGAGGATATGGTTCAAACCCTGTACGCTATGTGCTGGCTGCTTCAGTGTCTATGAACACATATGTACCTTGCTTAGTTAATTCAGAGTGCCTTACTCTTCTGGTGTCTTCCATCCTTTCTGGCTCTTACAGTTTTTCTGCCTCCTCTTCTGGGGGATACCCTGAGCTCTTGGGGAAGGGATTTGATAAAGGTCTTCAACTTAGACTTTCTCTCCACATAATTTATGACTGTGCATCTCTGCATCTGTTCCCATCTGCTGCTGAGGAAGCCTGAATGATGACTGGATAAGGTACTGATATATGAGTATAGTAGAATGTCATTAGGAATCATTTTATTGATTTCAGTTTTGACCAGCATTGTCTGGTTTTAATCTAGAACTCTGGGATATCTAGTCTCTTGTCCTTGTTACCCAAGCTGTGTTGGGCATGGGTTCCTTCTTGTAAAGTGGACCTTAGATTAAATTAGATGTTGGTTGGCTATTCCTACAAGTTCTATGCCCCCATTTTCCTAGCATATTTTGTAGGCAGGAAGGTTATAGGTTAAATGTATTGTGGTTAACTTTATGGCAGAATATCTTCCCAAAACCACAGGGAGCAGAACATATGGATGAGGGCTCCACATAGTTACCAGTTCAACTTTTCCATTTCATTGAGTTGTGTGGGTGTTGTCCTTGACAACTGGGTCCTGCTGTCAGATGGTAAGGAGCAGCTTTTTGTCTTAGTAACAGGCTGGGTTGTTTGGGGGATTTACATGGGATCCCCTTGTCTAACAACAATTGAATGCATCCTCATCCTACTCCTGAAAGCCTCAATTGGTTACAAGAGATGCCCATTTGAGACTCTATATCCCCAATTACTAGGAATCCTCATTAGAATGACCATCATAGATTCCAGGAAGTTTCTACTGTATTATTTCCATACCACCTCCCAAGTGCCCCCCAATTCCAGCCATCTCTCCCTTCACTCTCTTCATCTACAGCATCTCTTGCTCCCTCATACCTGTATCTACTTTCCTCTACTCCACCCATATTTTATTTTCCCCTCCCAGGGTGATACCTATATTCCTCCTAGACCACTTTTTTTTTTTTTAAACCTTACCACTTTGGGTCTATGGAATGTAGTTTGTTTATCATTTATTTAATGGCCAATATTCCCTAATAGGTGAACATATACCATATTTATCTTCTGGGTCTGGGTTACCTACTCAAGAAGAGTTTTTCTAGTTTCATTCATTTGCCTTCATATTCCATGATACCATTTTTTTTAACCAGCTAAGTAATACTCCATTGAGTAAATGTACCACGTTTTCTTGATCTGTTCTTTTGTTGAGGTGTAACGAGTACGGGTTTTTCCGCCTGCTGCCGCCCTGTGTTGTCTCGCTGCTGTGCCGCCCCAAATAACACACAGAGACTCTGTATTTGATACAATGCTGTTGGCCCGGTTACTTGTTTCTTATCGGCTAGCTCTGCCTTAATTATTAACCCATTTCTGCTGATCTATGTATTTCTCTTACCGGGGAGCAGGCGGTATACTGCTTTCTCCAGACTCTCCATCTTGACTCCTCCTTCCTACTTCCTATTTCCTCCTTGTCTCCTAGTCCCTCCTATCTTCCTTTCCTATTGGCCAACAGTGCTTTATTATTAACCAGTATGAGAAACATACAGAATGACATCTCCCATCAGTTGAGGGGCATTTAGGTTGTTCCCAGCTTCTGGCTGTAATGAATAAAGCTACAATGAGAAAGTGCCCTTGTGGTAGGACAGGACATCCTTTGAGTATTTGCCCAAGATAGTGTAACTGGTTCTTGGAATAGATCAATTCCAAACATTCTTAGGAATTACTGATTTGATTTTGATAGTGGCTGTACAAGTTTGTACTCCCACTAGCAATGGAGGAGTGTTCCCTTTGCTCCAAATCCTTGCCAGCATGAGCTGTTACTTACATTATTGATATTAGTCATTCTGACACGTGTAAGATGGGATCTCCATGCAGCTTGATTGTACTTCCCCAATGGTTCAGATTATTGACTATTTCTACTTTTAGTTTTTTTAATTGAAAATAGATTCTTCTCTCTTAAATACATACTGATCACAGCTTCCCCTCCCTCTACTCCTCCCAGCTCCCTCTACCTCCCCTCTCACCCAGACACACTTACCCTCTCTTTCCTCTTAAAAACACGACAAAACAAAAACCCCAAAACAAACAAAAAACTGCCCCAGGCCTCCAAGACATAATAGCCAAACAAAACAAGACAAAACAAGGTACAAAAAGGCAATGAGAAGGTCCTCATATCAAGGCCAGACAAGGCAAATTTATAGGAGGAAAAGAAACCCAGGAGCAGGTCAAAGAGTCAAAGATATACCTGCTCCCACTGTTAGGAATCCCACAAAACAACAAGGTAACAGACATATCATATAAGCAGAGAACCTGATGCAAACTCATGCAGGTCTTGTACTTGTCACTTCAGTCTTTGTGAGCCATGTGAAACCTGCTTAGTTGATTTGGTGTCAAGAATTATTTCTCAGCCATTTGAAAATATCTATTTAGATATATATGCCACTGTTAAATTGCATCATCTTGTTTTGAGGTATCTAGTTTGTTGATGTTGTTGTTGTTGTTGTTGTTGTTGTTGTGTGTGTGTGTGTGTGTGTGTGTGTGTGTGTGTGTTTGTATTGGCTATTAGATAGAAGACTTCCTATTGGATGTGGAACTGGTCAAATTCTTTTCCTATTTTTTTAAGCTGCCACTTTGTCCTATTCACTGAGTCCTTTCTTTCAGAAGCTTTTCAATTTCCTGAGTTCCTATTTACTGTTGATCTTAGTGCCTCCTCTATTAGTTTCAGTCCAGAAAATCATCTTCTGTTCCAAGGATTTCAAGGCTATTCCTCATTGTCTCTGGGGTCTTTAGTCGATGTAGACTTCAGTTTTGTGCAGGGTAATGGATATATATATTTTTGCATCCTTCTGCATGCTGAAATCCAGTTTGACCAGCACCATTTGCTGAAGACAATATCTTTTGGGTTTTTTTTAGTATGTGTTTTTGGTTTCTTTATAAACAGTTAGTATCCATATGGGTTTATGCCTGTGTGTTTAATTGAGTCCACTGATAAAAATGTCTGTTTTTATTCCAATGCCACATGTGTTTTATTGCTATAACTGTGTAGCACAAAGTCATATCAGGAGTGGTGATACCTCATATTGTAAAGTAGAACTTCAGAAATTTTGATGAAATAAATAATGCACTGATTTTTAGTTAAATACATTATTAAATTCTGCATATATATATATGCAGAATTTATATATATATGTAATATATATATATATATATATATATAATTGATTCAGTTTCCCTGATCCTGTGTGTATGTGTTTGTATGTATTGCAGGCTTAGAATTGACTATAATATATGTTTTCTCAAGTAGTGTTCATTTATTAAAAATGAGGACATCATTTATGTCAATATCTTATACATACCCAGAACTTAGTATATGTCTGTTATAGCCATATTAATGAGAACATAAAAGACTTTACTGAACACATGCTATGACTAGGAATATTGGATATGAAGTACATCTTTAATGAAGTTTGGTTCAGAATGGTAAATGTGTAAATATTAATATATTTATAATACAAATCAAATAATTCAATAGCATAATTTAAAAAATATCACACATAAAACATTTACTAATTTTACCTGGGTATATAAATGTAGACTAAACAAAAAATGTTCTTTCAGTTGAATATGTACCGTGTACCTAAGGATTTTAGGTCATAGGGAGAACATGGAATATCATGGAAGCATAGAATTGCCTGTGAACTATGAAATGGTCTAGTTTTGTTAAGGACAGTGTTCATGCAGTTTGTTGTGGAAGGAGAGCATATGAAATCATCATAATTGACGGAGAAATAATTAATATCTGTGTCAGTCTTGATAAACCTCAGATCTGATACTTTCTCATTTCTTCTCCTTAATTAAGTTATATTACCTTCAAATACCTAGAAGTTTAGTTTTTCTGTTTTCCTTGTTAGTATGTGTTTTCTTACCACATTATTCATAATCCTTTATAGTTTATAAATAGCTACTACTCTGATATTGATTCATGTTAGTTTTTATTTCATTATGCTTTTTTTCCATTTCTTTCTACTTTTTATTTTTCAGGAATAAAGTGGCTTTTAAAACTAAACACTAGCAAAATGAAGTTCTTCCTGCTGTTTTCCCTCATTGGGTTCTGCTGGGCTCAATATGACCCACATACTGAATATGGCCGAACTGCTATTGTCCATCTGTTTGAGTGGCGCTGGGTTGATATTGCTAAGGAATGTGAGAGATACTTAGCTCCTAATGGGTTTGGAGGGGTGCAGGTAAGATTTGTTCACAGTTTAAATACAGAGTTCACTGTGCTTATATAAAATAGTTTTTTAATCTCTTTTAATTATTCTGAAGCAATATTTTACTTCACACATAATTTTCTTTAGGAAGAAAATGTTTGGTGGGGATAGCAACATTATATCTTCCTTTATGACATTAGGAGGCCCTCTCTATTGTGCTCCTGATGTTTTCAGTGATTCTAAAGCAATATGCCTACAAGAACACAGCTTAAGAATTGCAGGATCATTATCATTGATAGTTTTTTTAAAACAGGATTTATTTATGTAAAGTAAACAATAATCTGATAATCTTAATTGTTTTATTTCGTAGGTCTCTCCACCCAATGAAAATATTGTAGTTAACAACCCTTTTAGACCTTGGTGGGAAAGATACCAACCAATTAGCTACAAAATATGCTCAAGATCTGGAAACGAAGAGGAATTCAAGGACATGGTGAATAGGTGTAACAAAGTTGGTGTAAGTAAAGTCATATTTTTGTTGAAATCATTATATGAAAAACCAATTTCTACCATATATTTTTTTATTCTCCTAGAGCAAAAAGCTTCATATTTTGATTTTTCTTTTTTATATTTTAGCTATAACTCAAAATTAATTACTGCTTTATGGTCAACTTTGAAAAAATCTTTCATATGAACCATTTAAAGAAGAATACTTGTAAAGAAAGCCTTGACTATTAATCTTTATAACCATACTCATTTTCTACTAACACTTTTCTAGTTGAAAATTAGAAATTTCAGATGCAAAACTTACTGCCATTTTTATGGTAAATAGCTATTTTCTTTTTAATAAGATTAACTCCTTTCAAAACCAATAATGCATAGTTTTTTTCACTTAATTTTTTAAATAGCACTTTTCATTTGCTTTCAGCAATAACAGTTTCTGGTTTTCCATTTGTCAGTTCTGTAAATCCTCAACCAAATACTAGGACTGTTTGTGATCTTTATTTCACATTGGTTTTCTTTCACACTTGACTCTTTGTCTTATGTAAATTTAATTATAAAATATCTATCAATCATTCTTCCATACATCTATTTAATTAGTTTTGCTAGAATACTATGGAATTTAATTATATAAGTTTTAGCTCCCTACTTTGAACTGAAGCACACACTTTTCTCTTTAGGTCCGCATTTATGTGGATGCTGTCATTAACCACATGTGTGGAGAAGGGGCCCAAGCAGGAACAAGCAGTACATGTGGAACTTATTTCAACCCACACAACAGGGACTTCCCTGGAGTTCCATACTCTGGTTGGGATTTTAATGATGGAAAATGCAGAAGTGGGAGTGGAGGCATTGAGAACTACAATGATGCTGCTCAGGTGAGGAAAATGATCACAATGAAGGTAATATCTGCCCTCATTCTCCATGTAGAACTTTTGTAATACCATTAGTCATGTGGGTTAGATTTTTTTAGAAAATACATTGCAAAGAGTGAGAAATGCAAATCAATCTTCAGAATCTGCTCCTAGTTATTTAACACTCAGGGGTTGATTTTTGTACCACATTAAGAGAGATAAATAAGAAAGGAAAAGAGAGAGGAAGGAAAACAGTGTTTCCTCAATCAACTAGTAAGAATATCTACATTATTTCCTCAGTTCAGTCTTCATACTGGAAACTATACCTAGGGTGTTATCTACAGTAGAATGTGAGTGTTCCCAGTGTCCCATGAAAAGGCTTTATGAAGCATCCTATAGTACAATTGGTTAATAAGTAAATAGTCAAGCGGATTCTCTAGTGGCAGGGACATTTATAAATCAATCACCATTTTGTTTTGTTTGCTTATTTGCTTGTCTCAACAGGTCAGAGATTGTCGTCTGTCTGGCCTTCTGGATCTTGCACTTGGGAAAGATTATGTTCGTACCAAGGTGGCTGACTATATGAACCATCTCATTGATATTGGCGTAGCAGGGTTCAGACTTGATGCTTCTAAGCACATGTGGCCTGGAGACATAAAGGCAGTTTTGGACAAATTGCATAACCTAAATACAAAATGGTTCTCTCAAGGAAGCAGACCTTTCATTTATCAAGAGGTAAAGTAACACATGTATGTGCATATAAAGGACATCATTTTTGTTAACCAGAAGATAGGTTAATGTCTGAGTGCCTTATTAAATGTGCAGTTTCTTTAACTCCCTTTTATTTGAATATAACAGACTTAATTCTTTTCCAGAATAAGGGTCTAAGGGAGTATAGAGAATTTGTGTAGCCTATAACATTATTGTGGCATTTAGTGTATACTCTATGACCATTATGCAAGAAAATCTTAGTCACTGACTCAAGCCAGTCTTTTTAAATGAAGTATGAGGTATTATTGAATGTGTAAATTGTGGGTAACCTGATAAATAGTTCTGTGCACATTTTTTTTTCATGTGAAAAGGTTAGTACTGTTTTGAATTTGATTTCTTTGGAGAAGTAAATGAATTTGTAAGTAACCAAATTGTTTATTTTATAGTAAGTACTTCATCAGTATGAATTTCTGAATTTCCAATGATGTGCTATTGGACAAGAAATGGCATTGCCATTAAGTTTTTTTCAATAGTGAGTCATATACTTTATAAAGAAATAAAGAAAGCCATTTTGAGTATCGTCAGCATATAGGATATTACTTTTACATTAAACATTTTAATATTGTTTTATTCAAATGACAGCTTCTTCTTACATCTCTACTAGGTAATTGATTTGGGTGGTGAGGCAGTGACAAGTAATGAGTATTTTGGAAATGGTCGTGTGACAGAATTCAAGTATGGAGCAAAACTTGGCACAGTTTTACGCAAGTGGAATGGAGAGAAGATGGCCTATTTAAAGTAATCACACATTCTCATTTTGTCTGTCACCTATCTATTGTCATATTATTCCAGTACCTGGTCATCTTAGGACATTCTAATTTATTAAATATTTATCAAGAAGTTAGTTACCAAAAGGTTAACTGTTTTCTAAATCACAATCATTTATTGTTAATAATTTTTATTTTGAATGTCAATAACAAGGAGGCATTTTAGAAACACAAAACATCACCTAGAGTTTTTTTTTTATGTTTCTGATAATTATAATCTTTTGAAGTCAAATATTACTTTAAAAATCCTACTAAACCCCAAATAAAACTATAATATAGCCATACTTTTGCACTTTTATATTGCAACAAATTAATTTGGAATGTTTAACTGTTCATAACACACAGTGAAATACTCAGTCCTCATTTTATTCATTTTTCATTGTATATAATGTGATATGGATATTCAACCTTCTTGAGTTCATTTACACTATAGTCTCACAAGAGCAATGTGAATGAAATGCACATAAATTTACCATGCATAGATAATGGAATACATTAGACAATTACGTGTATATGCACATACTTGGAAGAAATATTTTCTGTGGAATATTCATTTAGTTAAAGAATCAGTAGTTGACTAAATTAGATTATGGGAAGAGATACAGATTTAGGGTAATCTAAATGTATTATAAAAGAATAATATGTGCATTATTTTTCTTTTATTATTATTATTATTATTTTTACAAAATAGGAACTGGGGAGAAGGCTGGGGTTTCATGCCTTCTGACAGAGCCCTTGTGTTTGTGGACAACCATGACAATCAACGAGGGCATGGTGCTGGAGGAGCATCCATCCTGACATTCTGGGATGCTAGGTAGGTAAAACTATTCTTCACTAATTTGTTACTTGCTCTTTAGTGATGGAAAGTTTTCTGTTCTTCTACTATAATATTATTATTTTGTAATTTCCAGGCTGTATAAAATGGCAGTTGGATTTATGTTGGCTCATCCTTATGGATTCACACGAGTAATGTCAAGTTATCATTGGCCAAGATATTTTCAGAATGGGAAGGTAAGTTTGAATATATTTTTCTAAGAAAAGAGAAGCCGTCCTGTTTTACTTTCACATAAAAATTGTTACATAAAATACATGCCATCAAATATTTATTTACTATAACTTTAGTAATGTAAGGATATTGCAGAAGTATCACTGCTTTATCACTATGGAAAAAAACTAGAAAATTAGAGAACAAGGTACACAAAACAAAACATAGGAGTCTAATAGTACTTTTCTTTTTAATTTGATACGGATAGTGTGCATAGTAACACCTGTAGAGAAGGTGAACAACTTTGTTTAATGCCCTACTAGAGTCCTGACTCATCCCTGGGTGGTGGGTGGGGGCGGGGAACACCTGGTGTGGACTGAGAAAGGATTCTGAGTACTACAGGAAAGAACACTGGGAAACTGTGTGGTTTATTAGGAAGGACTGCTGGTTTATTAGGTGTTAACGGGGGTTGGTTATACCCAAGGAAGAATAGCCAGTTGGATTCACGAGGTTCATGTCATTGGGGCTAAGGAAAGAACCTTAGAAGGTCATACAGAAAAAAAAAAAAAAAAAAAAAAAAAAAAAAAAGGAATCCCTGACTTTTTAGTGGTCAGATAAACAGCAACCAGTCCTCACAGCCTTGGAGATACACGAGCTTATCAGTTGCTACATACACCAGAACACATCAGCACCCAGGGATGTCTATCTGCTGTGGTCTAAGCGAGGCAGGGAATGGTGTGGGGTTGCAGGGAGAAGCAGCCAAAACTTTGTCTCTACCAGAAGATAAATTCCAGGGTTTTGCACATGCTTCGACTCCTTAACTTCAGCTTAACTTCAGGCCAGGCCAGACCAGCAGTTTTAATGGCTGACTAAGATAAATACTTGCTAAATACTTTTAGATTTTCTTTTTTAATGGAATGAGAAGAAATAATTCGTTTTTTTTTTTTTTTAAAAAAGGACACATAAGAAATTATGTAAATTGTGCAAAAATAAGACTTATTTAAGAATACTAAGCAATTATGTAATACATTAATCTAAATAATTTAAAAAAGCAGCTAAGTTCCTGGGTAGATGACTCAGAGGCTAAATTTCTTGCAGGAGGGACAGGGGTTCAGTTCCCTGGCATCTTGCAAAGCTGAGCTGTTTGGTGTTTCACCTGTAACACACTTGATCAACAGGTAGAGACCGCAGATTCCTGAACCATCAAATCGTCCAGTTCTGGGTTTAGGGGAGAGACCCTTCCTCTATTTACAATGGAGAGAATGTTCGGTTGTTTTAGGGAGGTGCTTAAATGTGCTGACAATCATGAAATGCATATTAAAATTTTGGAAAATTTATTATTAATGTTCTTACCACTTTAGTGACATTAAGGAAGTTAGAGAGATATTAAGAAGCTGTTGCACAAAAATGTGTAATTCTTTTAAATATGATTCTAGAGAACTATGCTATAAGCACTCAAATATTAAGATTCAGCAAAGGTCCATATAAATACTGAAGAAGTATAATTAGTAGATACTAATTATATATTATAGAGACTCAAGAACTTTTGGAGTTTAGTGAAATTGAAATGAAATATGCATGTTAAAATCCTGAAAATTTCCCCTATAATTAAGGATATCAATGATTGGGTTGGACCACCAAATAACAATGGAGCAACCAAAGAAGTGACCATTAATCCAGATACAACTTGTGGCAATGACTGGGTCTGTGAACATCGATGGCGTCAAATAAGGTTGGGAGTGTCCCCTACAGATTTTGTCTATTAAGAAAGTTGCTTAACTTTTTTTAATTGTTGAAGTTTAAGGCTACCAGCATTTCACACGATACTGTCCTTTTAGGAACATGGTTGCCTTCAGAAATGTAGTCAATGGACAGCCTTTTTCAAACTGGTGGGATAATGGTAGCAACCAAGTAGCTTTTGGCAGAGGAAACAGAGGATTCATTGTATTTAACAACGATGACTGGTAAGTCAATATCAATTAAAGTAGGATTGCATACTCTTGTTTTTTTTTTTTTTTTTTTTTTGATTTCTGCTCATTTACAGCTGCAAATGTGTTCCTTAATGATTTAAGAAAGCATAGTGAACGGAAAATAGTAGAAAAAAAATGATGCTTACTCTTAATTTGTTCTTTAATTTTTATTGATTTTAAGTAGTGTTTTGCTGTTATTGTTGATTTTGGTGTATTCTTTTTTTCCTTTATTTTACATATCAATCACAGTTCCCCCTTTCTCCCACCCTCTCTTCCTTCCTCCCTCCCTCCTTCCCTCCATCTTTCTCTTCCTCCCATGCTGCCTGATCATCCTCCCATCCCATTTCCCCCTCCCCACTCCACAGGGAGGGTGATGCCTTCCAGGAGGGATCAATAAAATCTCTCCCTCCTGTCTCTAGGTTAGGGGAATATCCCTCCATGGGGAATATGCCCATTTTGGTGTATTCATACACTGTTTCACTCTTATACTCATGTGACATCTGTACAAAGAAGATAAACATTCAATAACAGTCTTAAAAATCAGTATAAGAATGGGTATTATTAGATTCAAAGTTCTCTCCCACCCCGTAGCAATGTGTCACAACTATTTTTATGTTTCTTTGATATAATATAAATTCTCTGCCTATGTGTGATGAATAATTTCAAGGCATTTGCATACTTGGCTGTACTTGATGGTTTTCCTCAGGAGGCACCTGAGTTTTGTTCTATCCATTCCATTGACCATCCTTCCATTTTTCATGCATTCAATTTTTTTCTTCCCCTTTCATAGTTTCCTCATATATACAAGTAAGAGAATCTCTATGCAAATAGTTGACCATCTCAGTTGAAAGTTATGTTTTGCTCATTTAGATAATTAGTTTTTTTTTTTTTTTGATGTTGTGATTAAACATCATAACCAAGGCAACTTACAGAAGATTTTATTTGGGCTTGTAATTCCGGAGGGTTAGACTCCATAAAAGCAAGCAAGTTATGAGGACAGGAGCAGGAAGCTAATGGCTCACGCTTTGAACCACAGGACAAAACAGAGATGACTAGAAAAGATGGGAGTTTTGTGTGTGTGTGTGTGTTTTCTCTCTTAAAGTCAGCCTTCAGTGACATAATTCCTCCAACAAGACTATGACTCCACATGGGGACCAAATTTTTTGACTTACCAAGTGTTCTTTTGATCTATATCTTATCTATATCTGTCGATTCTGTCTATCATCTATCTATCTACCATCTATCATCTATCTGTTTATCTCTCAATCTATCTATAATTTATCTATCACCTATTTATCTACCTACCATTTATTTATCATCTAATTCTGTCGGTCTGCCTATCTCATTTACTTGATTTCTGACAAGTAAATTGCACAAAGTTTAGGCAATTACTTAATTTGGAGATAGTCTGTTTCTTGAATTTGCTTATGATGAATTTGACTTCTGTTTACTTTTTACTTTTTCAGGTCATTGTCAGCAACTTTACAAACTGGTCTTCCTGCTGGCACATACTGTGATGTCATTTCTGGAGATAAAATTGATGGCCATTGTACTGGAATTAAAGTCTATGTTTCTAATGATGGTACTGCTCAATTTTCTATTAGTAACACTGCTGAAGACCCATTTATTGCAATCCACACTGAATCAAAAATATAAAATTTAAAATAAATATATATTGAGAGCATCAACCATTTGTATTTCTTTTCTTTTGTATAATTTAATTTTTACACTTCATTCACATTTTGGAAAACCTATTACAGCAATGAACCAGAATTGGTGAAAAAGAAAAGCTCTCCTAAATCATGTAGAATTATAAGAAAATTACACACAGGGTTTTAATATGTTTTAGAATATTTAAATTGTCAAAGGCAATTTGAAGGTGCAGTTTTCCTGTCCTGATGCCCTGTTCCCAAAAAACCAACACAGAGACTTAATATTGATTGTAAATGCCTGGCTGATAGCACATACTTGTTACTAGCTTACTCTTACATTTAAATTAACCCACTTTTCTTTTCTTTTCTTTTTTTTAGTCCATTAACATTTACTAAGACTTAAAGAAAATATTCTATCATCTATCCTATCTTTGTGAGTCTAAAGTCCTATATGTAACTTATCTTTAATCCTAACTAAGGAAAACTGTAACCATTACTATCTGTCTTCAACTCCTTCAAAGACCACAGAAGGATAATATATAAAGGACAGAAAGGATAGAAACAACACACTGCCAGTTCAGTCACACAAATTCGTCTACAATGTTCCATCTTCAGCCTATAGGCCATAGTGTGTCTGGCAGGCTCCTCAGCAAAGCAGGAAAGTTTAAACTGTCCATCTGTATTGGCAGTTTGTCAGTCATTTTTCTCTGTGTCCTGCAGACTGTCTGGCAGACTCTTCCATGAAGCAGGAATCCTATAGCAATGTCCATCTTATATCAGCATTCATTTTTCTGTGGGTCTTGCATGTCCAGTTTATATAGCAAAAAGTCAAACAGTCCAGACAATGGACTTGTGCAAATGGCTAGTCTTGCCATATTGAAAGTAGACTCCATAATGAGTTTCTTTGATGTCCAATCTTCCTTTTTGATGTTTGTGATCAATGTAATGTATAATTTAGTACAGGTTTTGGATAGTTATTTATAATATTCAAAACTTATAGCTAGGTGAGTTAGGCTTTGTAGATATGTAGAGATGTATTTGAGATGACTAGGCATTCTTTAAACCTTTCAAAGACCTACAGAATATGGCATTTAAAATGGTTTCAGAGTTTTTCTTAACTGTGAGACATAACTGCTACTAACCCACATTTCTTATCTATATTCTGCCACATGGTTGGCTGGCATCTCTTTTACTCCACCCATAGTTATCCCATCATTTTCAGTTTGGCTTTCCTGCCTAACTTTATCCTGTTAAGTTGTTGCTCAGTCGCTTGTTTATTAAAACAATCATAAAGACACAGTATACAGAGGATTATTCCTCAGCAGCAATTCTCAGATGTAAGAAGACATCCTGACAAATATTTTGTTTTATCACAAGTACCATTTATTTCATAGTTCCTTAATTTCTCTTTTTTGTTTAAGATATCTTTCTTTATTATACATATAGTATATATTACACACACATATATGTATATATAACTGTGATCTTATTCACTCCGTTATCTTCCATTATTTCTTCCCATTTTTTTCACCATACCTCTTCTTTTCCCCAACACATCCCTCCCTCCCCTACTTTTCATGCCTTTTTTTTTTTTTGACCCACTGCTCTTAAGTGGGATTGCCTGCACAAGCATGGGTAGAAAGTCATAACCTGAACAAAAGCAACTTACTAGTGTATTAACTTTGAGGAATATAATCTACCCCACTGTAGCAACTGTTAATTGCATATATCCCCAGGAAGGGATTGGGTCAATACATGGTGGAATCTTTATGTGATTAATTTCAGAACTTGTGTAGTTAATCACTGCTGTGCGAGTTTATGAATGACACAGCCATTTCATGCCCCCCCCCAAACAGCATCTCTTGACACTCCTCCAATCCCCTGATTTTGCATTCTTCCTGTTTATGACAGTCCCTGACCTTTGAATGGGGTTTTTATATAGATGTCCCTTTCTGGGACAAGTCTTCAACTGTCACTTTTTTTTTCTTTTTTAGCACTTTGACCAATATGAGATTCTGCTTTATTTGTCATACACATTATTAATATATGAGGAATACATCACTTCACAAAAATCTTTTAATTTGTAATTATGGTATTTTAAAATTAGGTTAAATAATAATAGGCTTCCAAATGGCTTTTTCATAGCTTATTAGATTTATTTTTTTTGGAGGGGTGGGGGTAAGTCACCTGTTTAAATGGTTCTGGCTATTCTAAAATTCATTATGTAGACCAAGCTGGGCTTGCCTACTTCTGTTGAGATTAAAGACTTGGCAACCTGGCTTGATTACATTTTTAATTTTGGTAAATCTCTCCCACAGCTCTTCTCAATCCACATGAATTTTTAAAAGTTCTTTTTTTTTTTAAAATGTATATCTTTCTCTCTCCTGTTCTACAGTTGTAGCATCTGTCCTAGTTTCCTACTCCTTTGCCTCCTTTTATCTGGTGCATGTAATGACTCATTTGTAGCTTCCTGGCTGCCACAGAGACTCCATGTTAAAGAAACAAACCTACAGATTTGAAACTAGGAACCTTCTATGGGAGATCATATGCAACATTGTTCTTGCTTAGCATGTGTTGGCTTACTATAATATTTTCTAATTCATATCATCTTATTGCAAATTTCCTATTTTTCATTTTTCTTTCTAGCTGAATAGAATTTATCACAGTTTGATCGTCCATTTACTAGTTGATGAACATCTAGGTTGATTCTATTTCTTAGCTATTATTCATAAAACAATATTGAGCCTGGATGTATGAGTATCTCTGTAGAAAGGTACAGAGTCCTTTGATAATATATATGTCATATAGCTGGGTCATATGGAAGCTTTATCTTAGATACACCTCCTCACTAATTTATATCCCAGCAATGTCAGTTTAAGTTCTTAAACTTAAACTTAAAGTTTCTCCAGCCTCTCCAACTTGTTATAATTTGTTTTCTTCATGATCAGCTTTCTGATTGGAATGAAATGAAATGTTCAAATTATTTTTAATTTGCATTTTTGTAATGACTAAGGATGATGAACACTTGTAAAATAAATTTATTTGTTGTTCTTTTTGTCTCATCTTTTGAGAATACTCTTTTTAATCTCAAAGCCCATTTTCACATTTAGTTGTTTCTTTGATGCTTATTTATTTTATTTCTTTATATATTTTAGGTGTCAATCCTCTTTCAGGTGCATAAAAAGTAAAGATCTTCCCTCATTCTCCAGGCGGTCTCTGCACTCAGTTGACTTTTTCTTTTGCTGTACAGAAACTTTTTGTATAATGGGATACCATTTGTCTAGTTAGACTTATTTCTTGATTGACAAGAGGCCAATTCAGAAAGTTCTTATGTATGCCTTTATCTTGAAATGTGTTCTCCTCTACCAGTTTCAGTATTTCATGTATTACACCAAGATATTTGATTTTCTCCTGGTAAGAGACTCTCTGCTTTTGCCTTTCTCTAGAATTAATGATTTCCATAGAAAATTCCTGGTTTTCTTTTTCGTTTTAAAATTATTTTTTATTTAAATTAAAAACAATCTTATTTTACATACCAATCCTAGTTCTCTCTCCCTCCTGTCCTCCCATCCCTGCCACCAACCCTCCCATCCCAACCCAGCATCTACTTCTCAGGGAGGGTGAGGTGTCCCATGGGGGATCATTAGAGCCTGTCACACCATTTGCAGCAGGACCTAGGCCCTCCCTCATGTGTCTAGGCCGAGAGACTATCCCTCCATAGGTAATAGGCTCCCAAAGTCCATTCGTGCACTAGGGATAAATACTGGTTCCACTGCCAGAGGCCCCATAGACTGCTCAGACCTCCTAACTGACACCCATGTTAAGGGGGCCTGGTTTGACCTTATGTGTGGGAACCTGTCCTTTTGGGGCTACTGTCGCAGTCAGCCAACTTGCCCAGTTTGTACCTGAGATGGGGAGTATGGATTGAGAAAAGGCAGATAAAGACTTTAAGAGAAAGAGACACGGGATAATGTCAGGTGTCCAGTGAACACTGAATGCCACAAATTTATTCTTTAACATTCTTAAGTATACCACCCAAAAGGGGGGACATCGCAGAAGACATCTATTGTAGTGAGGTAGTCCTTCTGTAGCACTGACCACGCCCATTGGGGGGTGGAGTGATGGGCGGAGGTGACCTGAGGAAGGAGGTCGGAGGGGGCCAGGAAGGCGCTCTCTCTTTCTGGCGTGACTCGGACAGGAGAGGATCGGGTTGAATTTCCTGGTGTTCATCTGTCTAGGTTGTAAGTTATTTCTCCCTGAATAAACATCTATTCGGCCTATTTGTTTATCCTGATCCTTATTTACCGCAATAATCTATGATCAAGTATAAGGAGCAAACAGACTTCCCTTAATTCTCCAAGCATTTGGTAACCACATCTGCTATCTGGCCTTAAGGATTGAGAGTAAACACACCCGAGCCCAAGTCTTGTTATTTAGATATGACATCCACTAACAAGGCTGAAACACTCGGCAAGTAGCCAAGCCTTTAGGTCATTTGACTATTTAAGGACAGTTTTGAAACTCGCTGATCTTGAGGCAAGATGAAGAGCAGTCATCTTTATGGGTCCCAACAGCTGTGAGTCTGGGGTCTGTGAATTTCTACTTGCTCAGGTCAGCAGTTTCTGTGGGTTTGCCCAGCAAGGTCTTGACCAATTTGTTCATTACTCCTCCCTCTCTGCAACTGTATTCCTGGAGTTCAGCTCAGTGCTTAGCTGTGATCCTTTGCTTCTGCTCCCATCAGTTACTAGATGAAGGCTCCATTACTGGTGGCATTACAAACTTGTACAGCCTCTTTGGAAATTGTCGGGAGCGGTCTTTGTGGTGCTACAATAGGAGCCAGCCTAGCTGCCCTGAGTCCAAACCTGAATGGGGAGTGTGGATGAGGGAAATGGTAGCTATAGAGGATAAAGAAAAGACAGAGAGACAGAATAAATGTCAGGAGGCAGATCAGTCAATACTGAAATGCCACGAGTTTATTGTTCACTACTCTTATTTACCTTAACCAAAAAGGAGAACACAGTATCATGTATACAGAA